GGATGCAGAATGAGTGCCTGTCGCATTACGTGGATACGTTCCAGTCGTGGTGCGATAAGCACGTAGCGCTGGTGGGTAAGGTGAAATAATCCGGGACCGAAGCCTGTGGGATTTGCTACGATGAGATGGGACCGTACAGGAAGCTGGAATCGATTCGTGCTGTCAGAATGTCTGGTTCCATCGGAGCTGCATGGCACAGTTTGCCCAATCGGCGGGGTACTTTTTCAAGTGCCCTTTGTGCAACAACAAGGACGACTTTAGTCAGCAGATGCAGCAGCGTGGCATTTATATTCCACCTCGTATTCCACTGCCACGAGGAACTTCCGTCGAAAACTTCGAGGAACTTCCGTCGAAAAATTGCTTCGAGCCAAACCGGTCGTATCAAATCGTTGACTTCTTCGGACAATGAAGACGAAGCATCCTCCGCCGGATCGTCGACCGTGTTCGATTTCAACTATCGTGTGAATTTAACCAAAAAAGCAGTGCCGAAAATCGATGGTAGAATTGCTGTCGATCAAAGAGTTCATCCATTCCGACACGGACACGCTAACGGATGCCTCGGTGGGACAGGAGATCGTGCGTCCCAAGACGCCTGCCAGAAATCTTTTGAAAAACTGTTCAAATTGTAGCTTTTCGGGTCGAAAACCGTCCCACGAAAACGGTCCACCAGCGAGTCTGATCCGAAATACGTTACAGCGAAGAAAATTAGGTTGATTTAATTTTAATGGTGACCTTCCTTAGACGGTGAATTTTCCAGCACTAGTCAGGTCTTTCCCACGGCGCAGTGGATTACTGCCAACGGTGCCACCTCAAGTGGGAATGCGATTCGAAACCTGGTTGACGTTGATGCTCAAAAGTGAGAAAATGTTCCGGATTTCACTACCCACATTAAGCGAATGTCAGCTGGTATCACGCTGCTTTCAGGTACTGAGGGAGAACCTTCCAAAACTTCTAGTGTTTGGACGGTTTGGACTGGTGGAGATTGCTAAAGTATGATCCCGATGAAAACATTTTGCGTATACGTATACGTGACGTAGTGTGCGTAAGATAAACGCCAGCAATGACACAAAGAATGCACCTGAAACCGACGGAGAATCGCAAATGCTGTGGTGAGGCAGAAGGAAACAAGTTAGCACTTTCATTATCACGACGTTCTTATGCATAATCTAGTGTGACGTAACGTTGGATCATGCGTAAGAACACCGTGAGAACGAAAGAGTTGTCAACATTCCTTCTGCCGCACCTACAGTAACGCACACGGTTCCCGCGCTGATTGTTCCTTACTTTCTCACTCTAATCAAAATTTCCTTCGATGAGTGAGAAAACAGCTCCACGTCAACGCGAGCGAGAACGAGGGTTGCCAGATCATTGCACACAAAACCAACTTGAATTAATTCAAAGCAAAAATACTAGCGAACCTGGCGGTGAGGGGCGGAAGGTGGACTAAAATTCTATTACAGAGAACCACATTATTTTAATTAATTTCTTCGGAGAAAGTCGTCTGTCACTTCGTTTGTGCTAGTAGTAGTGTTGCCATGTGGTACAATCCAGTAGTAGTGGTGTTGCCATGTGGTACACTGAAAAATTGCAATAGCAGGTTAGTCACCAAAGTTTTCGAGCGCTCCGTCTGTCACATCGTTTGTGCTTTTGTACACGATAAAGGTGGACACTATCTTTTTTGAACCCTTGTAACTTTAATTGTAATAACGATTTTTCTAATCACATTAGATATAAAAATAGTTACAAATATTAACTAGTTATTGCATCAATTCTAGCTTCAGGAAATACTTCATTTGATATTTTTTTGGATACAATTAAAAAAGGGCGACCACTTTTTTCGTGTACAGAAGTCTGTATATATGGCATCGTTGTCCACAAAGTCGACCGAAGACTGTGACGAATTCATTCCTTCCAGAAAGTCCATCCAGCTGGTTCGTTTGGCGACATGGATTTCTTGCCGGCATTGATTGTACAACTCACGGTAGTGACGGAGAGCGTCCTCGCGATCGGGATGTCCGATAGGGAGGTGCACCGTCGGTTTAACCTCACATTTTTTGACATCTGGCAGTGGTTTGTTTACATGGACTTAGAAAATATTTAAAAAATTTATTAAATGTTTTTTTAGATTTTTTGGAGTGGAATATTTTTTAAAGGAACATAGTCGGATATCATATGTTTTAGTTCTTCATATTTAAAACCTAAAATCCACTTGAATTGCCTAAAAAGCATAGGTAAACAAACCACCACTGGATGTCAAACTGATGAATGCGGGTTCATTGCGTTCACTCGTGACGTCAGCGTGCAGCATCATATAGGAAGGTGCTTTACACCGAGCTTTACACGGCGTAGTGCTTTACGCCGGGCTTTAACGGCTTTCCTCGTATCTTTATTCCACCAGCGTAGCGCTTTTCGCCCCTGAACGCTGCTGGTCTTTGGGATGGTTGCTGTTGCCGCTTCGTATACCACTTCTGAAAAGTCTTCAATGGTGTTTGGATTACGCTGTAGTAACAAGGACTGAAAGGCTTCACCATAGCTATCCCAGTCCGCTTGTTCGTAGCACCATCGGGGCCTCCTTGTTGCCATCGGGAAGGTGGCGGTCGAAAGTTGAACTTTGATGAGGTGGTAACACTGCCATAGAGATCCGTGTTCGCGCTCCACTGGGTTATGCCAGCAAAGCAGCGGTTGACAGCTGAGACGTCGATGGCAGAAGTGTGCCGCCCGTTAAAGTACGTGGGCACACCGTCATTCAGAATCACCATGTCTTCCTTCTCGAAAATATCGGTAGTTTAGCTATGGCTTCGCTGAGTTGATCGTGCAGGTTTGGCAGCCGTCCGCATGGCAGGTATGCACATGCGACGGAAATGTTCACCGGTGCCGCTAGTTGGACACCAAGCATAAGAAGCTCGGAGTCCATATCGACAACCTGGAAAGGTATCGTCTTCAAAACCCCGATGGCCACGGAGTGCCGGAAGTTGTTTCCCCGTTTTGCTGTCCACGTATACTTACCGCCTAGAGAGCGGTTCATTTGGTTTGTTGTCATTTTGTTGGTTTCCTGGAGTGCGATGACCCAGGGGGATCATCGTGGCTAAGGAGCTCTAGATCACCAATGCGGTTCAGGAACCCGTTAATGTTCCACTGCAGGATGAAGTTTACTGGCTTGGGCAGTGAAGGAGTGGGGTACGAGCGCGCCGTGATTGTGGAGCTAGTGTCATCGCGGCGGTGACTGCCACTCTGGTCGACGGGCAGATCTCTATCGTAGATGTCCGATCCATCGTGATGGTTGGAGCCAGCTGGCAGATTGATGTTGTATGCTGAATGAGACAGGGCCCGACCAAGGGCAGATGTAGACGTTCCACCGACCGAGGGCAGGGATGACCCAACAGAGAGAGAGAGAAGAGGTATTACCTGGTGGCGTACTGGGTTTGGCAGCTTCGGTCGTTGTTATAGCAGCGTGTTCGAGTCCCTCGAAGTCCTTCGGGGAATGGGTCGGTGAGCCCTTGTCCGTCCCGATACTTAAAGCAGACTTGACTCCCTCTTCGTCCGTTTCCGCCCTGTGTTCCGGTGGTGGAATGGCGTCTGCACCGACGGGGCCCCAACTAAGGGGGCTATCGCTGGGCTCTTCTTTTGTTTCTTCGTCCGCGGAGGTAGTCCGGCAGTTCCAGTGAGGTTATGACGTTATGCATGCCCGAAGCACTCATTACTTCGACTGGTTGGCTCGGGCGCCGAGGGGTGTCCGAAGATTCTGGTTGGAGTATAGCTTCCGGTTCAACGGTGCCCCGGCTACCCGAGGACACACACACAGACACGGTTGGAGGTGGCTGGCAGTTGGTGGAGGTGTTGAGGTGGCCATTAGAGTTGTCAAGATGAATAGCGAGGGTCGAGGTGCCATTGAAAGTAGTCAGTGGATAACGTAGTACTTCCACTTTTCCTTCATTTGCGTGGCTTTTTCCGGAGAGACTGGCGAGGTACGGGCGAGAGTAGATCTTTGGATTTTGGGAGCTTGGGCTATGCGAGGGGGCGACCGGGAGGGTCTAGCTGGTTGATGGGTCACATCGATGATTGCGGTGTTGAGGGCTGTTCAATGGATGTAGCGGGAGTTGATGGCATGGATGTATCTTGTTTACGGCTGGTTTTTAGGTTTTGGCTGTTTCTGGTATCGCTGCTGGATACCGGCGAGATCGAGCCATCACTTAAGACGGTGATGAAATCGTCTGCTCTTTCGGGAACTTTCTGTGACACGGGCTGAACTTTCTCCGGGGGGATCCGCGGAGGTATTGATGGGGCTGCAGGCAGGACGACGGTTGGCTCGAGGACGATCCGTATGGGGGTCTGTATGGCAGCTCTGGATGCTGTACCTTCTGTTGCGTCTGTATCATGACGGTCATCATGCTCTGGACCATGGACTCGAAATATTTGGCTTGTCTCTTCGTGCTTAGCACGGAAAACAAGATCGACGGAAAACAAATCAAGGAGCAAAAACATTGACCCTGAAAAGTATCCAGGGTATGCATTTGAAACACACAGCTTTATGTGCATCTCTATGGGTGGTACCCTATGTCACCGACTCTGCACATGATCCTTGTGCATGGTGCAGAAGTGATAAAAAACGCAATTTTAGCAATTGGTCAGCTTTCGGAGGAAGCAGCCGAGGGCATAAATAAACACTTCCGTTACTACAGGCAAGACTTTGCAAGAAAAACTTCAAGGCAGCATAGTAATTAGAGACATCCTCAACAGACATGACAGGCAGAATGTCGGGCTGTTTTGCTGTCGACGTCGATGTTGATCAATACGATCCTTAACAAACATTTAGCAGATCCTTCAATCAGGGCCGGTATTAAAAGTTAATCCGAGTTGAAGCTTACCGTCATTAGAGTAAATCGCTATCTTCCGGTATGGTGCGCTAAACGGTTCTTCAGGGCTTTCAATGGAGGTCCCTTTAACTTGTCATCAAAATGCACTGCAGTTATATCTGATATGATTTATTTCAGGTTCATAAATACAATTGCAATTTTTTTCTTTTAAATATTTGGTATCTTATTAAGAACATATCCTGATAATCTTAGAGTTTTACTTGAAGAGGTTTTCATTTTAAAAACATGTATCACCTTGTCTATTAGTTCTATATTGCGTCATCTGTTTCTTGGTCTAAATACTGCTCGATATAAATACTATCTCAATTTCAAGATAAATTCACAATATCCATCCTAATGCCTAAATAATTCATTTCCATACCATACATTCGGTCAATACGATTTTGAAAATCTTTTTAAAAAAATATATCGCCAATGTCGTCAAATATCGCATACTTTACTGATCCCAGCTGTCCCTATCTGATGGCTTTTCTTGATCCTGCCTGGTCTCCTCGGCAGTCAGAGTTGGAGAGAACACCGATCCCAAAGCTTCGACATTGCTCGAGTTCATGTCGGCACACTTGTTCAGGAACTGCTCCTCAGCCGGTGCTGGCCCGGTATCATCTGCATCAATCAGGGCTAGCAGAGCTTTCGCTTCACCGCCGCCGTTACCATCGTGGCCCTCTTCATACACTTCTTCCGAATCGTCGTAAATTTCCTCCGTTGCGTAGATGTCGTACCCAAACTCGTCCAAATAGTGTCCATCGTCGATAAACTCCACCAGTTCCATGTTGGCACCCAGGTTCAGCCCCTGATAGAAGTCGTCGTCAATGTACAGGTCCTCGGTGGATTTGGCGTTCTGAAATTGTTTTATTTTTCAAATGATCAGTAATGCATGAATTCGAGAATAGTGGTCAGACAGATCTTACTGGAATTGTTGTTAGAGTTCCACGGGGTAGCTGCTGCTGCTGCGAGATAAGTCCCAAGTTGTCCTCGAACATTGAAGCTAAACTTTCGCGAGGAAAATTTAACTCACTAAATGCGGCTGACATTCCGATGCGACTTCCGGAGGGCACTGCGAAGAAAATTAGAAGTCGATAAACTTGACATCAATGCTTTACAAAATAATTTCAGATAGTTCGCCAACATTCCTTTGAAATTTTACATTTACCTACTTCTCTGGAAGATCTCGAGATTCTTCTTAATGTCCCTAAAATATCCTCCCATCTCCTACAAACTATACTCACCATTCAGACTATCGGCGGGTACCATCGAGCTTCCGCAGTTGCAGCAAATGAATCGTTCCACGGCGTTACGATTAGCACCAGTGCCACCAGCACCTCCCGAGTGTGCCTTCACTGGGGTACACAAACTCCTCCGATCGTCATTACGGCTGGAACACCTGGATCCACCTACATCCTCACTGCTGGGTACCATCCTCAGCGTAGCAAATGCCTTCAACAACTCATTTCCACAGGAATGTCGAATCGGTGCAGTGGCGGCGTTAGTCGGAGTTAGACAGCCGGACGAAGGTAGATCCTCTTCCAAATTCAGCGAACTGGGTCGCGATGAAGCTGGACTTCCTCCGATATCCGACGCCCGGCGGGAGATCTTTCGCATGTTTACGGTCACGCGAGTCGTTAGCTTCTTCTTCCGAGCACTGCCTGGAGGTAGCGGAGTGGTGCTGGACGTTTGCGAGGAGTTGATGCCATCTAAACCAGATAGGTCTGTGCTGGAAACAATGCTTTCTCGGTATACAGTTCGCTGGATTACGCTACCGCTGCTGGTCGCTTTGCGACGCATGAACAGCTGGGAGTTCGGGTTGAACACGGACGCATCTGGCAGTGGAAGTCTCGGTTGAGCTTGCTGTTGTGGATGTTGTTGGAGTAGTTCCTCCTTCTTGTTCAGAGTGTTGTTTGTAAGAACTACATCCAGCCGAGTAACCGTATTGTTGGGATCTTCAATCGGGGGCAGCTGTTCGATGGTTCTCTCCAGTTCGAGAACCTTTGTCGGCACTAGGAGGTTCTCCTCTACAACCACCGATTCGTCGCAAATTTGCTTATCGTCTGAGGGTTTCTTAGCCGATTCCTGTTTTCTATTCGGGCTGTAGTCAAACCCAGTATGCTCGAAGGTTGTTTCAATTTTACGGACCGCATCACGAACTGACGTCAAATGCGCTGTTATGACCTTATCTGATGTGTCAGATTCATCTTCGTCGTCGAGGTTGTCCGCCGAATAATGAAGTAGCGATCGTTCGCAAATCTCCTTTTCCTTCTTCCAACGGGAACCCTCAAATATGTTATCGGTTGATTCGGCCTTCTTGCTCGTTTCGTGAACCTCTGATTCATCATCGATATCAATGTCCACAATCGCTGGGGCTGTTTTGTTGAACTCTTGGCTGTGAGCTTTCAATTTCCCACTCAGGTCTGAACTTTTGATGATGTTTACACTGATGTTGACTCTCTGCGGTTTGATCTCCTGCATCGATGAAGAAATGTTCAAATTTAGTGGATTGCTGCGAAGCCCTCCACCGGAACGGCCGTCCCGACTGATACGGGAGCCAAGATCGTTGAAGAATACGCATGTTCGTTTGCCCTGTGGAGTCACTGGTGTGGAGGTGTTATCGTCGGTAAGCACCAACTTCTGATCGGAAAGCCAAGCGTGTTTACGTATTTTGTTCTTCCGAGCGATAGGAGTATCCGGCAGCGTGAAGTCTCCGATCGTGAAACGCAGTGAGTTGGACAGTCGAGAGTAGTTTTTGCGCTTGGTTCCCGGAGAACTGTCACAGGACTTGGATGTCTCTACCGGTTGAATTTCGTTTGTACGGACGCATTCGGGAGTTTTATCCACGTACATTTCTTTAAGGAATTTCTCCTTACCGGTATTGATGTTCAACTTTGCTGGACTTTCTTTGGTGTAGACTTCCAAAGGTCCAATCACTTCCGGGGCTTGCACTCGTAGTGTTGTATTTTCCTTGGAGTCTCCACTGCTTCGTTTTTGGGTACTGTCTGTTTTGTCGAAACTGTTGATCGGTTCGAACAGCTCCTTAGCTGCGACCTTGTTCAACCGCAGTGAACTCTTGGGCTTTTTGACCGTACTGGTTCGCTCGTAGATGACTTGTTTCGATGACCGGGGCGATAAGAACTTGTTGTTGAAGTCGAAAATCGTTTGGTAGATGGCCGAATTGGATAAGCCTGAACTGAGGGGCGATTTCTTGGTTGACTTGGGGTCACCTGAGGAGTCCTTCTGCATTTTCACCTTGTTGATCTTCCGAGCCGGCTTCTTCGGCTGCTGCTTCGTCCGCTCAGGAACAGGTTCATCAATATCTACCAGGGTTGATTCCCGGCTCATTTTCTTGTTGTTCTCTACGTTGACGCATCCGTTGTTAGATTGGAAGTAAATTTTGTCGGTTTTTTCCGGAACGTTCTGCTTGCGTATATCGTTCAATTCATTTTTCTTCCGGATCTCCGAGGAGTTCATCTGGTCTTCGTAGTCTTCGGAGAAGCCATTCATGTGTGTAGTTTTGTCCAAGCCTTGTTCCAGTAGAATACAGTCCAGTGCATCCAGAATGTCGGTAACGCTAATTTGGCGACCGCTGAGATCAGCTAGGCCAGTTTCGAAAACGTGCCGGAAGCGATCGCACCGTTCCTTTTCGAACATCGGCAACTGCAAATTTGCCGAGACTTGGAGTTTTTCCAGTTCCTGTCGACTGTACACCACAAATGGCACGTAGCCATTGAGAATTTCCCAAAGCAGTAGAGTTAACGAATAAACGTCCGTACTTTTGGTGGGGAAGACAAAGTTGGACTTGGGTACGAGCAGTTCCGGTGCTACGTAGTAGAAAAGGGAGAACTTCTCCCGGTATTCTTTGCAATACGGCAAGTAGCGGCTGGCTCGGCAATCGTACGCGCTGTTGTCACCTATGGAACCGATCTGTCCCTTCCTGTTGTCGGAAATCTCTTTGGACAGCTTCCGATACTTATCCCGCAGAAACTGTTCATCGTTTTTGATCAACCGCGAGTAGGTGGTGATTTTCTTCAGCTCTTCATTCTGCGAAGATGTCATGGAGTTGCGCGAGGACGAAGTGCTGCCGTAGCGATTCTCGATTTCCTTTCGAATCGTGTCGGAAGCTTCGGTGGTGAGTTCGAACGAAGTTAGCTTGGCGGTGTATGGGTACTTGCGCATCATGATGCATCCGCTGGAGATGTTTGAGTGGATGTATCCACACTCCTGCAGGAAGGATACGGCTGATGATATCTGCTGGACAACCGTGATGGCGTGCAGTAGCGAAAGGCGCTTGTTCTGAAATAAGATTGAGGGTAGGTTAAATTGAGTGTACTGTGAAGGATTTGGTTGAACTTACCATTTTATGAATGTAGTCAAAGAGGGTAAAATCGAATGGTTCTAGCACCAGTGTGGCTTGGTTTAGGCCCGAGTCGAAACAGATGGCCATCAGCGAAGCGATTGCGTAGTGTTTTATGTGGTTAAGGATCTCGAAGTCCTTCTTGCAAGCTTCCTCGGCAAAGTACAAATTACGATCGAAGTTGAGTGAGTATTTTCTTAGAGCTACCGGTGCGTTGCGGAACATTCCACATGAGAATTCCAGCGGTGCCGTAAAACTGCTGCGTAGCGTTCCCACCCGGTAGTGGACTTCCTTGGGCCAGCAGATTAGCAGATGGCTGGACGCTTGCTGGAAGAACTCCAGCATGTTCTTCTCGGCAAACTGTTTCTGTAGAAAATCGTCCGATATCTGGATGCTTTTGCTCCACTTTTCCAGTGAATCCAGTTCCAGAAGGATATCTTGCGGCTCATGGATTACCAGGTCAACTTCGTCCAAATGGCAACCGAGCTCCGGTTCCTCCTTAATGATGGACCTGTCCAGATCGGTGACGATTTGTGGGGCTCGCTCCTTGAGAACGCTGATCGGTTCCGTGATCATGCCGGTGGAGTCGTCGATTAGCAGGGAAGAAGGTTGAATGTCACTGTTCAGAAAACGGAAGTTCTCGTTGATCACTTCTTCGCAAGCTCGGATATCGTTGAGGAGGTCTCCGTTCTTGGTGGAATTCAGCTCCGAGTGGGTATCGTTTGCATCGCTGAAGGGAAGCGCGTAGTCGACCAGGTCACCATGTTTGTTGACGATGGTTTGATAGGATGGAGATTTGCGGCGTTCCTTGATGGCTGGGCTCTGGACGGATGAATTCAGAGGTTTCATTTCGCCACGGTAGGCTCGTGAGGAGATGACGTGTTCGTCGTAGATGGATGATGAGTTGATTTCGTACTTGCGGTAGGATCCGGCAAATGGTGATTCGGTGTCGCTTTCGTGGGTGCGATTGTGTTGCTTCTTGTGCGAATTCGGGGGATCCGATAGGGGCACCGGAGGTTGAGGGGCCGGTTTGTCCTTGAAGCTACGGCACCGTTTTTGAAGTAGGTTGACCTGTTTCTTTGGCGTGGCATCCACGATAGTTGGATTGGTTTTGCGTGTGGTGCTGGTGTTTAGGTAGGGACTGGAATTTTCCTTAAAGAATCGGCTTGGAGGACTTTGCACTGCATAGGTTTCGCCCAGGTTGTCCTGTACATGCATCTGTTCGAATTCTTCTACCTCATTTTCGTAGATCGTGTTGTTGTTGTTGGATTTGGACAGCCTAGGTTTATTTTTGCGAGTCGTGGGTGGCATCACAGCCGGTAGAGAATATCTGTCGGCCATGTTGTTGTTCTTTCCATTGTTCAGGCTGGGCTCTCCGTTTTCAGGAATTCTATTGATATTCCTGTAGAATTCAACCGATCTCTTGGGTTTCTTGGGAGCTGCTGCGTCTTGTCGGTGTCTGCTATATCTGGGACTCTTTGGTAGCTCTAACTTTCGGTTCAAGGTACGGCGTTCGTCACTGTTGATTGCAACGTCTGAGCTGAAGTCACTCTGAGCTCCTCCGTCGGATTCCTTCTCTTCTACGATCACGCTCGGGATCCGTTGTTCGGTACCTGATCTTAGCGGGCAACCCTCACTGATCCGTTCCAGTCTCTGCTTAGCCCGCCATTGATTGAATTTGTTCAGCGCCTCAACGTAAGCTTCGTCACGTGCCGCACTGGCACCGTTGGTGGTGGTGGAAGAGGAAGAGGTTATGTTACTTGCAGCAGGTGGTGCACTCTCTCGTCGTCGATGCTGGTTTGTATCCCTGGAATGATGAAAGAATGGGAAATTTTCGTCAGACATTTGAAGGCAGTCGATGGAAGGGAAAACAACAAACACGCACGTCTACTAGATCTAGTTGTTTTCCCTGCTTGATTGAGTTAGATGAAGAAAGTTTTCCCCCGAGCGCGCAATTGCAACTGGAAGCGGAATTGACAAGAGCGACCTGGTCACTGTCACAGGTTGGTATGTCATTGTTTCTTGATCCATGTTGTTTCCCCCCATACATCACCGCGTTTCGTTTCAGTCGAAGGCCCACACGAGAAACCAGCCAAGAGAGAAGACATATGTGTGATAATTTTCCTCTCGATTGTCGAATTAAAGTAGGCATGTGAAAACGCTCCACTCAGCTTTCCACGCCTTCTTTGGTAGGTCAGCTATTTATAACTCCCAGAATACGCGAAGTGATTTAAACTCAAAACACAATGAATGGCATCCCAAGGAATTCTCTCGGCGCATTTTCTCTTCACTTGAGAAAGTGGACGAAAAATGCCGGGCGTTTTCACACTTTCCTATGCCTGCTACCGAAGACGTAGGTACCTAATTGCAACATTGCTCAAAACCTCTACTAGCTGCGAAACCTACTAGCAGTCGATTGGCAATTCGATGGCCTTTGGATGTCGTGTTTTAAGTTTTGGGTAAATGGCCACTCCTAATTGGATTATGCGCTGTCGATTTTCGCTCAAAGCGTTAGGTTGCGTGCCATGAGCGAGACTCGAGCAGGAGCATCGAAAGAGCACAAGCTTCATTTTCGCGATAGCACGCGATCCATTTTCGCGATCGCCGCGACAAAAATCACACTGCCACCAACCGGCTTGAGGTATGTAATACATATCGGATAACGACGACGACGACGGCGTCAATCGATTAGTGAGCGCACTCCTGCCGGTTGTGGATTTAGTCGAGGGGTTCGTCGCTTGTTAGTTACGAAGTCGGCGGTAGGCGCGGTGCGGCGTTTAAGTCTTTTGTTCGGGCTAGATATTTTAATCAAATTATTCGTTGGGTGCGGAAAAGATATCTCTGTCGGACGGTTGGTCAGTCGACCGACTGGTGGTGTGGTCGATGCGGAAAAATTGATTCGAGTACGAGTTGCGGTGTTTACAGTCTGGATTGAGTGTGGAGATGGAGGCTTATGGTTTGAGGTTTTATGTAAAATTATTACAGCCAATCAGGGGTTTTTAAGGCTAATTGGATTAGGGTTGAGTGAGTTTTTCGAGCGCTATCATTTGTGCCAAATTGTGCGGTGTGTTGCAGTTTATCCGAAACGAAAACGATGATTTTCAGGAGAACTACTCGCTATGGTTTAATACACTTCATCATAATGATTTATTATGGTAGGGCATACGTTAGCGGCTTCTTTTGGCATATATAACTTTGGATTATCTCACTGTTTAATGGATCAAAACTAGCTTGAAGTGTGTGTGTCAAGGGGTGGTCACTCTACACACTTATTTTTTTCCTTGATTTGTTTTCTGTACTGCACGGCGAATGAGAACGACCCAAATTTGAATTAAGTTTACTCATAAATTCTAAAAAGTGCGATGAGTAAATTTTCCTCATGCTTTCCAAGGTTTTTCCAGGTTTTTCCAGGAAAAAAAAATCCGCAATATGAGAAAAGTAAAGATTGGATTCACTCAGTACATTGGTACTACTCCTACACACTAAGATTATTTTACAGATTTCTGTAAAATTTTCCCGAAATCTCAACAGCTGAACGTTCGGTAAACAATGTTACAGTTTTCCTGTAATTATTTACAGATATCTGTGAAAAATTCACAGATATTTGTGAAAAATTACAGGAAATCTGCGAAACTATTTACCGAACGTTCAGCTGTTGAGATTTCGGTAAAATTTTACAGATTTCTGTAAAAATGTCTAAGTGTGTAGACTGAATAAAATTTTCGTCAATATCCTCATTTTCCGGCAGATTTTTGAGGTTTTCCACAGGAAAACATGAGGAAAATTTACTCATAGCTGAGTTCCTGTACTTTTGGCGATTATGAGTGAACTAAACTCAAATTTGGGTCGTTATCATTCACCGTGTTGATACCACTGCTATCGACGCCAGAAGGGATTTGAGCTAATTCGCACCAAACACTGATTGCACGGCATCCATTTTTACGGATGTTCCGGATCTTTCGGTGCATCATCTCAGAGTCCCCAGAGTCCGAATTCCGGTCACAACTCTGAATTAATTCTGATCAGGCGTCTTTGAGTGATTTTGAAACCAACACGGAGCTCTATCAGTCCGCATCGTGCTCTCTTGCCGTGCGGATCTATTTGCTTTTTGCTGAAGGAAGTGTTACTACTACCTAAAGCTACAACAAATTTAAACAGCACTTTTCAGTGCTCAACCTGTAAAAATTTTCTACCTTTTTCAACTCTTATTCCTCTTCGATCCTTGTTTGGACCCTACCCGAGGTAATCCTTCTTGGATATCGATTTGGAAAATTCCTCTTCGATCCTTCAGATTCTTATAGTAATCTGCTTGGAAGTCGAACTGGATAAAAATTTACTGCCGCCATGGCGCCTAAACGCAAAAGAAAGGGGCAAACTATTGACCCCCCTTCTGATGAAATTAATTTGAGTAATCAATTTGATTTGCTCACGGATGATGAGAATGATCCATCATCCAAGAAAAATTCTAGTAAACTTTCCCGGCTTAATGCCAAGAAGGAAAAGATTCCCCCTATTGTGATAACCACTACCGATTTCCATGCTCTTCGCATGGAACTTTTGAATTTCGTGAAAGTTAAGTTTTCACTACAAATTGGACGTCGGGGTGAATGCCGTGTATTGGCTGAAACCTTGGACGGATTTAAATGTCTTCTCAAGTATCTTACTGAGAAGAAGCACAAATTTTTTACTTACGACACCAAAACTGAACGTGTGTTCAAGGTTGTCATGAAAGGACTGCCCAGTGGTGAATCCCTGGATCAGATCAAAGATGAACTGGCAAAATTACTTGGAGTTGTGCAACTCCAAGTAATCAAAATGAAAATGAAATCCCGTCCTGGCGATTCGCGCAACGGGATTTCTAATGATTTTTATTTAGTTCACTTCAAGTCAAGTGAACTAAACAACCTTAAGGCCTTAGAAAAAGCTAGCCTTATGCTCCATGTCCGAGTGAAGTGGGAACACTTCAGGAAGACTGGAGGAAATTTCCAAAACCTCACCCAGTGCCGTAAGTGCCAGGGATGGGGTCACGGAACTAAAAATTGCTACATGCCAGCTAAATGCATGAATTGTGGTGATTCCTCTCACGCAAAGGACGACTGTCCTGTGAAGGAAGATCCTAAGAAATTTAAATGTTCAAATTGTGGTGAAAACCACAAATCCAATTTTTGGGAATGTAAGACTCGCAAAGCGATCCTACAATCTCGTTCTAACCGTCAGGTAGGAAACGCTCCACGTTTCCGAACAGGTACAAATTCCTCTGCTGTTAACAACGGTCAGCGAGGAACAAATTCTACATTCGTACCCGTAGGTACAAATATCTCCCCTGCTTCAAATGCTTCATCTGTACCTACTCCCCTCGCTGCTAACAATGTTCAGCGAGTTAATGGAGCTACCTATGCTGCTATTGCAGCGGGTAGAAATCAAAATACTAACCAACGTTCTAACGGAAATTTTGACAATTTTGACTTAGGAAGCATTACTGCTCCTAAAATGGAATTTTTACAGAATTCATTAATTGACATGATTTCTGATATGCTTAAATCTAACTCCATGTTTGATGCTATTCAAACTGGAGTAAAATTTGCTAATAATATTGTCATGACTTTAAAATTCAGTAATGGATTTTAAAGCATTAAATATTGTAAATTGGAATGCTCGATCTCTTAAAGATAATGAAGACGAGCTTTTTAACTTTTTGAGAGTTCATAACGTGCATATTGCCGTTATAACTGAAACGTTCCTTAAACCTGCCCATAAGGTTAAGAAGGACGCAAATTACTTGATTTATAGAAATGATCGTCTTGATGGACCCTGTGGTGGCGTTGCCATCATTATTCATAGACGAATCAAACATAAAATTCTTTCTTCATTTGAAACCAAAGTTTTTGAAACTTTGGGAGTTTCTGTTGAAACAAAATTTGGACAACTTACGTTTATAGCTGCCATTCCAATGCGTAGGCCAGCAAAAGAATTTTCTCAAGGGTGACCTCCAGAAACTTACCCGTCATAGGTCTAAATTCTTCATTATTGGTGATTTTAATGCAAAACACCGCTCATGGAATAATGCTCAAAGCAATTCCAATGGTAATATTCTGTTTGATGATTGTTCTGCAGGTTATTACACTATTCAATATCCAAACAGCCCAACATGCTTTTCTTCTGCAAGAAATCCCTCCACTATTGATTTGGTCTTAACTGATTCATGTCAACTTTGTAGCCAATTGGTTACCCATGCTGACTTCGGTTCTGATCACCTTCCAGTAACTTTTGAAATATCCCAAGAAATAATTTGCAATCCCAACAGCTCTACTTTCAATTACCATAGAGCTGATTGGGAGCAGTATCAAACATTTATGGAATATAACTTCGATCCAAACATTCCTTTGCAAACCAAAGATGAAATTAATTATGCTCTTGAATCTCTGACTACTTCTATAGTTGAAGCAAGAGCTGCCTCAGTACCAAAATGCGAGGTTAAATTCGATTCAATTATAATAGACGATGATCTTCAGCTCTTGATCCGTCTTAAAAATGTCCGTAGGAGACAATATCAAAGAACACGCGATCCTGCCATGAAAGTTATCTGGCGGGATTTGCAAAAACAAATTAAAAAGCGATTCTCTGCCCTGAGGAACAAAACTTTTGAAAATAATATTTCTAAATTAGACCCGAGTTCCAAACCCTTTTGGAAACTCACAAAAATTTTGAAAAAACCTCAAAAGCCTATTCCAGCGCTTAAAGAAGGTGGTAAAATTTTGATCACAAATTTGGAAAAAGCTCAGAAACTTGCTAAGCAATTCGAGAGTT